AAAAAAAAAAGTTCTTCGTGTTTTAATTTTATTCTGCTATTTATACCCACATATATAGTCCGTAGCTTAGATGTTGCCAGTCCGACTCGTAATTCCAACGTACCGCGATCGAAACCCGCTGCTGGCTGCGTGGATTTGTATCATGGTATGGAGCGTCGCAGGTCGACCCAGCCTAAACTGGGTACCAGGATGTCTGTCCTGGGAACGCAAAGACGGCCGGCCACATTACTCAACCAGTGCCGTGTGGTCTGGAAAAAAAAAAAACAGGTGCTCTTCTCATATATCCCATGTGTCTAAAGGCGCGAAAAGGGATCTTTACTTTACTATCTCCACATCTGAATGTTCTTCGCAACTTATTTTTAATTCTTTTGGTTGTTCCGAAAGGCAGAGCCAGTGACCGGCATTTAAACCACGCCAGGATCGCACGACGAGAGACAGAACATCTGGTGACACAAAGTGCCGCCATTCGGATGACAATCACCCGGGCACAAGTCCCTAAAACCCCGTTCAACAGTTTGGTCATTCAAGGGCCCCTGACGAGAGCCGTACAGAGGCTTAAGATATTGCAGATATCTCTACACTAAGTCAGCAGCGATACAAAGAATATATTCGTGATGGCCGAATGTGTGGTACATACACGTTCTTTGAAGAAAAAAAACTGGGGGGGGGGGGGGTGGTGTCCAACAGGCTTAAGCCTCAAGTATGTAATAATAATAGTGTCATAAATGGCAAATGATTATAATATAATATTCAAAATAATGCTCATGTATAAACGAATAAACCAACACAATTAGTTCGACGTTAGTCCCCCCAGACCCTGCCCATATACACACTAGCTTACTTCTGATTAGTAGTTCCTGAGCCCCGTGACCTTCGCACACGGTTATGGAGGTATTCCGTAATGCCGTTAAAATCTCGTGTTGTGTATCTCAGCAAGTGGCGCTTTTAACACTCCAAAAACATGGAGAAACTAGGTCTAACACAACCCCACTAGAGAGTGCTGCAACCTATGTCAGAGGCATTCTCTTTCTCGGAATGAAAACGTAAATGCAAGGCATCGCAGAAACCTAACAACAGAGCAGGACACACCCGTAAACTACAGGAAAGTCGATTAGCCCAACAAACTTGTGAATGACCTACTCTTATGTGGGGATACAAACGTCGAGCTAACCACCAACACTGTACCCAGAAACTCACATGTGTATCTTTTTTCTTGTTGCTGCCTCTCACACATAATCTAAACAGCGGGAAGTAGAGAAGGGGTAAGAGAGAGGAAGGAAAGAAGCACAAGCTGTATAAATTTTTTTTTTAAAGAAGTTGAGGTGACCGCTTAAAACATTTCGGAGTGGTTGGGGGCGGGGGGGGGGGGGGTTTAAAGGTAAAGGTTCCTAAGCTCCCAGTTTCCGGCGGTCCTAATCAAAGTGCCACGAAAGTGATTGAAGTCATAATGAAACTACAAGTCATTTCATAGCGTATATTTGTGTGTGTGTGTGTGTGTGTGTGTGTGTGTGTGTGTGTGTGTGTGCGTGCGTTGTCTTTGTTTGCTGATAAAGGTTAATCGCCGCAACATCCTTGGTTTATTGTAACTGATTTTGTAAAGCTGACATAAACTATTTGCTACTTTTTTTTTTTTTTTTTTTTGGTCTTATTTGATTTTTCTCTTTCTTCTTCATTTATTTCTTCCTTACCCCCCCCCCTACCCCCCCCCACCCCCCCCCCCCCCCCCCCCCCCCCCCCCCCCCCCCCCCCCCCCCCACCCCCTAAAAAAACCCCCCCCCCCCCCCCCCCCTTTTCCCATTGAAGAAAAAAAATATCTATCGGGCCGAGTGTCGTTTATCCAAGGGGAGGTAAAACAAGCATCGTCGGTGGGTTGTAGTTTTCAGGTTAGGTCCCCTATACTCTGCTAAATATGTACCGTTGTTGTCTAATCTGATACAAACAACATTGTGTTCAAATATGGATGAACCGTGTCAGGTTTAGTGTAGATCATTTCTATCGTTCAGGCTCAAAAGTAGGGTTAGGCCTCGGAACTCAGAAGGGAAGATGTATTTTGTTCAACTACTATCACATGCATACAGCCGCTGTGGTGTAGAGGCTAGACGCTAGCCTGCGGATCGGAAGGTCGTGGGTTCGGGTCCTGACAGAGCCAGAATTAGGCTTCCAAGTAGATATGGCCTTAAGTGGGTACCAGGTGCAGTCCTGGGAAGTAAAGGCGACCGGTGAGATGCTTGACCACATCACCAGGTAAGTGCCGAATAAAATAAAAGTAAAGTCGGGAGATGTGAACCAGCGTCATTGCACACGGTTATACCAGTACGGACAGCTGATAAGAAACTGTCCGCCTGTGTCGCCGTCCGCACGAAACTCGGTAGCTACAGAGACGTCCCTCCATTGTTTCCAGAATATTAACTCTGGTACCTATTGCCTAGACGCTGGGTAAACCCCAGGAACTGTCGGGCTTCGAACACCGGCCGTTGACTGCAGCGAGTCGCAGCTGGACTTTGAGGCAAAGTCTCCTATCGACTGCGCTAACGTGGCACCCTACATCAAGCCGGTCGCCTTTACTTCCGAGAATATTACCTGACACTCATTTTAGACTGGGCTGCTACAGAAGAAAATGGCAATTATAAGAGAAAAAAATTGCCACGATGCGGCTTGGAACACAAGAGTTTTGGGCCGGCACTGTGATACCATATATATATTTTATATACACACACACACACACAATATATATAGGCGTATATGTGTGTGAGAATATATAAAGATAAAGAAGAAATAAAAAGTAGGCCACCGAGCTTCACAATGTAAAAAAAAAACACAAAACGAAAAGTGAACGTTACGGCCACAGAGCCTTCATCAGCACATTAGAATAATCAACAAAATTATGTAGGGTTCGCCATGGCGTAGCGGCTAGACGCTCGCCTGCTGACCGGAAGGCTGTGGGTTCGGATCCTGACGTAGCCGAACTTTTTTTCCCTTTCAAAAATGACCTTGGCTCTCAGGTCGACAGTCCTAAATGGGTACCGGGTACAGTCCTGTGGGTACCATGTACAGTCCTGTGGATACCAGGTACAGTGCTGATCAAAAAGCCCACTGAGTGCCGATTGGTCTATACCAGCGGTTCTTAACCTGTGAGTCGCGATCCTTTTTGTGGGTCGCAAAAGACCGCCGGGTTGCCACAACACGAGGAACTGTATTAAAGGGTCGCCACATTAGGAACGTTGAAAACCACTAGTCTATAACAACATAGGTCAAGCCCTTTATGCCCAATAAGCTCGCAATCGCAGAAAATGGCCCTTTATATATTATATATATATATATATATATATATATATATATATATATATATATATATATATATATATATATATATATATATATATATATATATATATATATATATATATATATATAATGTTAAGCATGCTTCATTATTATCCCCAAACTGCCAGAAAAAAAAACTGGTAATGCACGTCATAGAAGGCTATCTCGGTGAATTTTTGTTAATTTTGTTGTGTACATAATAGAAAAACACGCACACAAACACACGATTATACAGGCGTATTTTCAACCTTGCATAAATGTCAATGAGCGACTTAACCCCAGGTTTATGTGACAGGAGGGGATTTAGCGGGTTTTGTCACCCATCCATCACATCACAAACACAGGAGGGGGCGTGGCTGGGTGGGAAATCGGGCATTCGGGGCAGAAGGGGAGGTAATGTTGTGAGGTAGGGCTGGTGTGGGGAGTATAACACAGGGAGGTTAAACAAAAAAAGGGGGGGGGGGGATATAAGAAATTACATTAAAATATGGAGGATTAGCAAACTTATAAGAAGCAAAGGGTAAGGAGAAAAAAAGAGGATGATAATAATATTTTTTAATGATAAAATTTAAGTGGAAGGAAAGAAAACAAAAAGGCAGAGAAGAAGAAGAATGAAATATGGATGGCGATAGAATGAAAAGAATATGAAGAGGAAAAGCATGAAAAGAAGGAGAAAAAGAAACATGAAAAGAAGAAGAAGAAGAATGAAGAAGAAGAAGAAGAAGAAGAAGAAGAAGAAGAAGAAGAAGAAGAAGAAGAAGAAGAAGAAAGAAGAAGAAGAAGAAGAAGAAGAAGAAGAAGAAGAAGAAGAAGAAGAAGAAGAAGAAGAAGAAGAAGAAGAAGAAGAAGAAGAAAGAAGAAAGAAGAAGAAAGAAGAAGAAGAAGAAAGAAAAAGAAAAGAAGAAGAAGAAGAAGAAGAAGAGAAGAAGAAGAAGAAGAAGAAGAAGAAGAAGAAGAAAAGAAGAAGAAAAGAAGAAGAAGAAGAAGAAGAAGAAGAAGAAGAAGAAGAAGAAGAAGAAGAAGAAGAAGAAGAAGAAGAAGAAGAAGAAGAAGAAGAAGAAGAAGAAGAAGAAGAAGAAGAAGAAGAAGAAGAAGAAGAAGAAGAAGAAGAAGAAAGAAGAAGAAGAAGAAGAAGAAGAAGAAGAAGAAGAAGAAGAAGAAGAAGAAGAAGAAGAAGAAGAAGAAGAAGAAGAAGAAGAAGAAGAAGAAGAAGAAGAAGAAGAAGAAGAAGAAGAAAAAGAAGAAGAAGAAAAAGAAGAAGAAGAAAAAGAAGAAGAAGAAAAAGAAGAAGAAGAAAAAGAAGAAGAAGCAGCAGCAGCAGCAGCAGCAGCAGCAGAAGAAGCAGCAGCAGCAGCAGCAGCAGAAGCAGAAGAAGAAGAAGAAGAAGAAGAAGAAGAAGCAGCAGCAGCAGCAGCAGCAGCAGCAGCAGCAGCAGAAGAAGAAGAAGAAGAAGAAGAAGAAGAAGAAGAAGAAGAAGAAGAAGAAGAAGAAGAAGAAGAAGAAAAAGAAGAAGAAGAAGAAGAAGAAGGCTCAAATGAAACAAAATGTTTCAAACACTGTATAGCATTATCCTAACATCACCCTGTCCCAATAACTGATATAAATATTCATCCATTCACAGATTCAGTATCTGTGTTCTGATGTGACTGGCGAGTTGCGGCCATGTCTGCGACATCATGGGCGACGCGCTGACAATGCACGGCGAGCGATCCCCTGACTCCGCGACTCAGCCGCACACGACGGGTTTGGGAATCGCTGTCGCTGGACCACCCAGCCCACTGGACTTCGCTGGCGAGCTTATTGACAACTGCTCTGAGCTGGTGCAATCATTGACCGGTCAACTACCACAAGACGCGGATTGTAACGGCAGCAGCGTCGCCTTTCAGAACGAGAGTTCCTTCTATGACCTCTTGCTCAACCACGGCGATATCAAAATGCGGGATGATCTTCTCCGCTACATGACTCCGGTTGTTATCATCACTGGTAACTTGAGTAATCTCATGGCCTTATTTGTTCTTCGGCGGAAAAAGCTGCGAAGGAACTCTGTGTGTTTTTACATGTGTGCTTACGCTATTGCCAATCTGTTGACGCTCAACTTAATGCTGGGGGTGGGCTGGGTATGTTTCGCCTTCAACAAGATATATGTCTCCAACCTGACAGATTGGAGCTGTAGATTGTGGAGTTTTATTACTAATGTGATTACCTACAGCGGGATCTGGTTTGTCGTGGCAATGAACATAGACCGCCTGTTGTACACACTGTCCCGGTCGGGGGGTCAGGGCAACTGTTCCGTGTTCTCAGCAAAGGCTGCAGTAACAGCGATTGTGATAGGTCTTGTTGTGGTCAGCATTCACGCCATGTGGACGTTTGAGCTGCAGCCGCACGGCTGCTACGTTCCGTTCCAGCAGGGAGATATCCATATCCTCATCTGGCCATGGTGGTCAGCCACTGTGTATACATACCTGCCTTTATTTCTCATCATTTCTCTTAACATCGTGCACATAACCGCCCTGGCGCTGAAGTACTGCCACGAGCTGCAAAGCTCTTCACCGCAAGCCGATGGCGGGAAAGATTCCTTTGTGGTGACGGTCATCGTTGTGTCCATGTCGTTCTTTCTTCTGGCCGTCCCCGCCACGGTGGCAAACATCCTGGACATTCACATGCCGTCTTCCTGGCTCAGCGTGGACCTCGTCGCCCGTATGGAGCTGACCAAGAAGATCACCGAAATACTATCCAGCCTTAACCAGGTGGTGTTTGGGGCTCAGCTTCTTTTGTGTTCCGAGGAGTTCCGGCGCGAGTGTGTGGCACTGCTGAGAGTTATCTTCTGCTGTGTAGGGTCCAAAAGAAACATTAAAATGGTCTCGATACGGCAGCCTTCCAACTCGGAAGACAGCTCACCTGAAAGACAAGTGGATTACGAGTTATGTAACAACAATGACGAGACAATCACGTCTGTGTAACAACGAAGTCCGCCTCCAGCTCTATGCGGCCGGTCCGGCACGGCTTTTCACCACCGGACAGCTACTAGTACAAAACCTGCTGACCAGCGATAGTGGCTAGAATGCACAGACATTCATACAGGGAGGAAATCAAGCAGAAAAAGTAGGCAATAGCTTCTACGGCTAAACATCATATGCTGCCCGCACAGGAAAAACACTGTAGCCCCGTTATGTACAGTGTTAAATATGTACCCCACACGCCTGACAGTGGCTCTAGTTCTAATCAGAAAAATGCCCTCCCAAACACGAGAAAGGGTGAACTCATGCATGCTACATGCAGGGAATACTGTCTTCACACATCAGTATTTCTGTTGTATCTAAGTGGTGGGATAGGGTCAGACGACATAACATAGTTCATATGTCAAACTCCAGGTATACGCCGTTGTACCATGTGCTCCAACGCGCCTGTGGCATGAGAAGCGTCTTTTAGCTGACTTTCACACATACAAGCATCGACAATTATAGACACATGGTGAGATGCGGAACAAACAGATTCTTCAAATTCTGAGATACAGTGCTCCTCAAACTTTGTAAACCCGGGTCCCACCACAACAGAGGAAATTGTGTCGCGGCCCACATGTCAACTTTCTAAATACTGAATAAAAACTAAATGTAGACAGCAGTTTATGAACTACTGCTGCTTAGAGGTTAGACAATCTGATATATGTGGCTGGAGCGATGTTTCTAATAGACGAAGCGATGCAATAACACGCATCCTATTTATTAGTTTGGATAAATTTTGTTTACAGCTGAATGGGGTGTCTGGATGTGTACATGTTCTATTCTCACCCTTGAGGTGTTATTCCTACAGGCTGAAATCCTGGAACAGAAAAAGTACCACTCAGACTCCGTTACATGATTTAACCTGGACTTTTCTGTGGCCCTACAGACGCGGACCAACGGTTGACGGACTCGGCTCCAATACAGGGTGAACACGAACCTTCAAATGAACTAAGCATTCTGTAGACAATATTACCAACAGATACTACAGCATAGCCATTCATGACTGTAAAACATGTCTAACTGTGTAGACCCATAGATTACGCTTAAATGTCGCCTGTTTGTCAGCTCCGTTTGTTCTGAGTACATTCAGGCTCAATCCCGGCCAAAGTGTGTGAGCAGATTCGCTCTGGAGGAAGACTGCTTCTGAAGATCAGAAGCCTCTCGTGCTTGAATGAAAATACGACATGGCATTTTGGTGATATTTTGAATTTTAGTGTTTTGTGTGGACCTGCAAACTGGGTATTCTTATACACACAGACTGTCTCAAGTGTCGTGCAGATAATGGAAGATGAAATACATTTTTTACGACGTTTCGCATAGGAAACAGGGAACATATAACGGTAGTCTCCCCAGGCCCCGCACATATACACACTAGCTCACTTCTGATTGGTAGTTCCTGAGCCCCGCTGATATCGCGTGTTGTATATTTCAGCACACTAGCGCTTTTAACACTCCAAAAACACGGAAAACTGACCCTAACATAAACCCCTTATACAGTGATGCAACCTACGTCACATGCAATCTCTTTCTCGGAATGAAAACGTAATGCAAGACAACGCAGAAAGCAAATACCATAGCAGGACACACCTGTAACCTCCAGGAAAGTCGACCAGCCCAATAAACTTGTGAATTAAAAGTGACCTACTCTATTTGGGGAGATTAACGTGAACCTAATCGGAAATAGAAACAAAAGGCTAAAGAGCCAGTGCACCTATATACCAACTGATGTCAATATTTAGGACATCCAAATACAAGTATGACAGCCAAGAAACAGATTATAAACAGTATACTGATATACATTTCGGCACCAACTTTGTAATGCAAGCCTGTGAATATGAACACTCAAGGAAAACTGTTCAAAACAATATTCTTATCAACGCTATGCTATCAGTGTCAAACACGGACAGTCTTCAGAAGACAGAAGGAAAATATTCAAAACAGGCATAAAATGTTTACGTACTATGTTAGGTAAAACAAGAAAATATGGACTTAAAAACAATGATATACGGACGAGAGTCGGCACAGAACCAATAGTGAACTTTATAGGTAGACTAAAAATAAAATGGTTTGGCCATGTAAAAAAATTGGCATTAGACATGGCACAACAAAGTGGGCTATTTTATACACATACAGCGATAACAGAGCTCGAGATAGACGACGCAGAATATGGACCGCAGATGTATCAGAGACACTGAAAAGTGCTTTATACGAAGCGAGCAGAAGGGCCCATTCCAGAGATCTCCTCCTGCCAGGCATTCAAGGAGTAGAGAAAAGACGAAGAAGAAGACTGATACAAACACTGTGCTACACATGCAAAAGTGCAATATTTTCAAAGGCTAATCTAGGTGAACTTAACCCCATCTGATGAGTTGCCAGAGGAGACCGAGTTAAAAATGAAAACACTAGACAGATTGTGTGAGCAACTCCTTACACCAAATTAAATCAGAAGCAGAAAATCTAATTCCTATTCATGTCATGTGCTGATGAAGGCTATCTAGACGCAACGCTCACTTGCAGTTTGTGATTAACGTAAAGCAGGCTAGTTCTACTTTGCGTCTGGATCGATATCTTTTCAGAATGTGAAATGGTTCACTCATTTCATTGGAATACAGCAACAACAACCAACACAGGCGCTTTATCTAAAATGATATGACATGAAATCAAGAGGGCGTGTAAAGAGATTGTGGACTGATAACATTAAAGACATTATACATCCACAAGGAATAAAAATAGTCAGTGATGTCCATCAATCAATAGACCGCACAAGATCGATGTCACAAATGCCATGCAAGATACACACATCAGCCCAGATGATTAGGCGACAGGCACAAATCCGTTTGCGCTCTTGCTAAGGGGATCCAACAGTACAGCCTACAGATGTGAGACATGAATATCTCAAAGACGATTTGTTAATCAACACTAAACGGGCGTCAACACTCGTTTTACGCCTACGGTCTGATTATCAAGCAAACGCATTCCAACTTCATAGCAAACTAGCCACACCCTGGCTGCTCTGTTCTTGTGCCAACGAAAATCGCACACGATGCCCATCACTGTCCCTTGTAAAAATAAAACTGCAGTTTTAGTAAATCCAACAGCATAGTCGAGCCTTAAATGTATAAAACACCCATCAGAATTGCCAACACAGAGCAGTCCGAGACAAGAAATACAGTTCACCGTCGATGAAAGCAGCAGTTACATCAGATCATTAGTTGTCAACGCAATTTATTGCATAGGGCACCACAAAATTCTCTGGAAACAGCTTACTCGCCGTTTTCTAAATCTGCAGTTCGACCATTAACCACGTTGGGGACAGTCTACAAACACTCCAAATGAAATCCACCGCTCACAGTGTCAGGTCCTGCCGTCAACTCCGTAGTTGGGCTTCGGGACTATATTCTTTTAGTCTACATATGGAGGAAAATGCAACAGCTTTGTTTTCTGAAGGCTGTGTGTGCAAACTACAGAACATGTCCTGCAAGAATCTCTATTGTACAGCCCATTAAGAAAAGAATACTGGACCATCGGTCAACACTATACTCTAAATTGTATAGAACTAAAATGTAACTCCTAAAAACAGTCAATTTTATCACAAGCATTCGATTGTCAGTGTACATCAGAAAGCAGTCACCAGAAAAAAGAAGAAGCTTTACTGAAGCTGAATCTGAAATACAATCACTCACTGTGACAGTATGCATCCATGCCCCATGTAGGCGCATAAACGTAGTGACGGCAACAGCCGTGTTCATGACTTTGGTACAGTTACAACTAGACACCAGTAGCGTATTTTGACCAGCTGACTTTTGTTTGAATGGTAACCGATGAGATGGTTTCGTCCCTCCAACAAGGACGCCGTAGTGTCAACTACCATCGATGGCCCCGTTGAAAATATACAATAAACACATGGCAATAGAATGACAATGCAAACAAATGGGACAGCATCTTCTTTCTGACGTTTAACGGCTAGATACTCCGACGGGAAGTTATAGTTGTTCGTCCAATTCTGGATTTTAGTCTTGTTCCAATACGTGAGTTGTGCGTGTCCATCCGTGTTACTGATGTGGCTATTTTGAAAGCAGACTGTTGGTTCCTTGCCTCTTAGAAGCACTCTGACTTATAACATGTTTTCCGTGTCTCAGCGGATTTCATAACCATGCACTGAAGTTCTCTTTTTAAAGTTTCTGTTGATATGATTGAGATTATTTCAGAAATATTATTGTCTCTGTTTGCCATTCTGAACACTATTGTTGTTATTACTGTTATTATTATTATTACTACGAAGCAGCGGTGGTAAAGCGGCTAGACGCTAGCCTAGGGATCAAAAGGCGTGGGTTCATGTACTGACAGAGCTAGACTTTTTCCAAAAACTATCTTGGCTGGCAGGTCGACCCAGCCTTAAATGTGTACCAGGTAAAGTCCTGGGAAGTAAAAGCGACCGACGTCACGTTTACACATTACATAAAAAGTGCCGATTGATCTATAAAGTATAGCTCTAGCCCTATATGCCCAATACACCTTAAGGTGTGAAAAAGGGTTCTTTACTTAGGTATCTCTTGAGGGTACCTCGACTTTTTTTTTTTAAACCCCAGAACATTTGTAAGGGAACTGAAGACTTGCCCACTCCCATACACCGAATGTTTCCTGAGAGTCGGCGCCATTAGCTAACTAACATTGCGGATCTCATCAACCAAGCTGCTGGTCCTGATGCTGATAGCTCCAGACACAAACCCAGGAGTGCACACTCTACAGACCTTCAGAAAAACTCGCTAACTGAACGGACTAAATAAAGGCTTTCACATTTACAGATGAACGATTCTTGGTAATTTCGTCGTGAGGTTTCTCAATACAATGTTGTATAACTGTCGTATAGTGGAGCTAATGAACGCAGTCAATGTTCGCTGCAATACCAGACACATTCAATGGTTGAACTGAAGCTTATGAAAGCAAACTTTCTGTGC